CTATTCCAATAGCATTAACTGGTCGTGATGTTCTTGCACGTGCAAAAAATGGTACAGGAAAAACAGGTGCATATACAATACCAATTATTGAACGTATTGATCCAAATAAAAATATTGTTCAAGCAGTTATATTAGTTCCAACACGTGAATTAGCATTACAAACAAGTGCTATATGTATGGAACTTTCTAAACATATTCAATTACGTGTTATGGTTACAACTGGTGGTACATCATTACGTGAAGATATATCACGTTTACAAGAAATTGTTCATATTATTATAGCAACACCTGGTCGTTTATTAGATTTAGTTAATAAAAATTTAGCTAAAATTGATGCATGTCGTGTTATTGTATTAGATGAAGCTGATAAATTACTTTCACAAGATTATAATCATTTATTAGATGAATTATTATATACAATGCCAAATGATCGACAAGTAATGCTTTTTTCAGCAACATTTCCTTTAATTGTTGATGATTTTATTAAAAAACATATGAAACAACCATATGAAATTAATTTAATGGAAGAATTAACACTTAAAGGTAAGTAGAAAAAAAATAATTTTTCTGATTTTTTTCTTTTGATTTATTTACTATTAGGTATTACTCAATATTATGCATTTGTACAAGAACGACAAAAAATTCATTGTTTAAATACACTTTTTTCAAAAGTATAAAAAAAAACAAAAAAAAAAAAAAATTCAGAAAAATAATTTTTATTTTTTATTTTAGTTACAAATTAATCAATCGATTATATTTTGTAATTCAACACAACGTGTTGAACTTTTAGCTAAAAAAATAACTGAATTAGGTTATTCATGTTATTATATACATTCAAAAATGCGACAAGAACATCGTAATCGTGTATTTCATGATTTTCGTACTGGTCTTTGTCGTAATCTTGTTTGTTCGGATTTATTTACTCGTGGTATTGATATTCAAGCTGTTAATGTTGTAATTAATTTTGATTTTCCACGTTACAGTGAAACATATCTGTAAGTAAAATCTACATTTTATAAATGAAAAAAAAAAATTTTCGTTTTTTTTTTTTTTTGTTTAGTCATCGTATTGGTCGTTCAGGTCGTTATGGTCATTTAGGTCTTGCAATAAGTTTAATAACATATGATGATCGATTTACTGTACACAAAATTGAACAAGAATTAGGTACAGAAATTTTACCTATACCACGGCATATTGATGAAAATTTATATGTGGCTAAAGTATCAACTATTGAACAATCAATTGATGAACAACAAACAGATAAATGAACAATCGATCAGATTTTTTTTTTGTTTTCTTGCTATATGTGTGTTTTACTAGTCAAACTAACAAAAAAAAAAAACAATATATAAGTCATATAAGATCAGATATGATGTATGCTAAATTTTTATCGTTTGTTTTTTTTTTCTCTTTGTTCTTCTTCTTGTTTCTTTTTGCATATCATTGTGATCATAACATTTTTCTTTTATTATATGGATGATGGATTAAAAAAACATAAACAAAAAAGAGTAAAATAAGAAAACGTTTAGATATTCTAATTGTTTTATTATTTTTGTTTTTTTTTTATATTAAAAACACAATGATATTTTTTCTTTAGATAAAACGAAAAACAAAAAGATTTCATTCAATTATAATTTTATCGCTATATATATATATATTTATTTCAAACTTGAATTATTTGTTCATTAATATTTTAATACAAATATTCGTTTGATATTGTACATATATTTCATTCCTTTTATTTCCCTCCGTTATTTGTTTCTGTTAATTTTTATTTACTACCATTCAATTATGATTGGTGGTTCATCCACGGGAGGCAAAGCCTCACCTTCTTTACCATTTTCTACATCAAATTTTCCTGGAAATTTAATTACAAAAATCGATGGTAATGATAAGAATACAATCAATAATGGAAATATATCAACAAATATAATTAATAAAGATGATCCTGATTGGAAATCAAAATTAAATATTCCAGAAAAAGATCGTCGTGCTAGAACAAGTGATGTAACAAATACAAGTGGTCATGATTTTGAAGATTATTGTCTTAAACGAGAATTACTTATGGGTATAACATTTTATAAACAAAATTCTTCTCTTTATAACTATAAAAAAAAATTTTTTTAGGTATTTATGAAAAAGGTTGGGAAAAACCATCACCTATTCAAGAACATTCAATTCCAATAGCATTAACTGGTCGTGATGTTCTTGCACGTGCAAAAAATGGTACAGGAAAAACAGGTGCATATACAATACCAATTGTTGAACGTATTGATCCAAATAAAAATTGTATTCAAGCAGTTATATTAGTTCCAACACGTGAATTAGCATTACAAACAAGTGCTATATGTATGGAATTATCAAAACATATTCATTTACGTGTTATGGTTATGACTGGTGGTACATCATTACGTGAAGATATATCACGTTTACAAGAAATTGTTCATATTATTATAGCAACACCTGGTCGTTTATTAGATTTAGTTAAAAAAGATCTAGCTAAAATTGATGCGTGTCGTGTTATTGTATTGGATGAAGCTGATAAATTACTTTCACAAGATTTTAATCATTTATTAGATGATGTTATTTTTCATTTACCACAAGATCGACAAATAATGTTATATTCGGCTACATTCCCATTGACTGTTGATGATTTTATTAAAAAACATATGAGAAATCCATATGAAATTAATCTCATGGAAGAACTTACTCTTAAAGGTATTTAATCATTTTTCTCAAAAAAAAAAAAAAAAAACAATTTTTTCATATGTAAAAACACTTATGATCAAATTTATCATCTAGGCAAAAATGACAACATTGAAGTGACATACTGAATCCTAATAATATTTTCTCTCTTAAAACAAAATTGATAATAATTTGAGCTTTAAAGGAAAATTCTACGACATAATTAGAATTGAAGGCAGATAGAAGAAGCTAAGTTACGATAGGTAATATTCTGAAGATGAAAACAACGTCTGTCGACTTTTTGACATTTTCCATTTTTTGAACATATGAACATAACACTTGATTGTTTAGTCATTGGATATGAATTATTTTCATTTCTTTTGTTTTTTTCAAGGTATTACTCAGTACTATGCATTTGTACAAGAACGTCAAAAGGTCCATTGTTTAAATACATTATTTTCAAAAGTAAAAAAAAAAAGAAACAAAAATTTTTCTGTATAACAAAATTTTTTTGTTTTATAAAAATTTAGTTACAAATAAATCAATCAATTATTTTTTGTAATTCAACACAACGTGTTGAACTTTTAGCAAAGAAAATTACTGATCTTGGTTATTCATGTTATTATATACATTCAAAAATGCGACAAGATCATCGTAATCGTGTATTTCATGATTTTCGTACTGGTCTTTGTCGTAATCTTGTTTGTTCGGATTTATTTACTCGTGGTATTGATATTCAAGCTGTTAATGTTGTGATTAATTTTGATTTTCCAAAACTAAGCGAAACATATTTGTAAGTGTCAAACAAAAACACAAATATTTATTTCAAAACGCAAAAAAAAACAAAAAAAATAATTTTTAAATTTTTAATATAGACATCGTATTGGTCGTTCAGGTCGTTATGGTCATTATGGTATTGCAATAAGTCTCATAACATATGAAGATCGTTTTTCACTACATAAAATTGAACAAGAATTAGGTACAGAAATTCAACCAATACCAAAACAAATTGATCCGTCACTTTATGTTGCTGAATATCAAATGAGTGGAGAAAATATTAGTGAAAAACAACATGAAAATAGTGCTAGTGCATCAGCAAATAAAAACTCATAAATATAAAAAAAACAACAACAAAGAACATAGTCGATGTTGTACAGTTTTTCTTTTTTTTCCCTTTTTGAATTTTTTTTCCGGTGCAAAAATTGCATCCGTCATTGCCATTGAAAAACAACTATAAGAAACTTTTTTGGCTAAAACTTCGGTTTTTTTTTCTTCTTTTTCTTCTCTTTAACTTCAAATCTTTTATTTCGTTGGTTCTTTTTCTCCGTTGTCTTGTGTCTTGTTTATTTGTTCTTTATGTGAGGTTTTTCTTCATGATTTGTTTGTTTTCTTTCTCCCCCCCTCCTCTTTCTTTTTCTCACAGCTGATATTCGACATTGGCGTAGATTTGTGAGATAATCATCATTTTTCTTCGTACAAAACAAAACAAATGATTGTGTTGTAATTTTTTTTTTCGGTTTTCTCTTTTGTTTCTCATCTTTCTTTTTTTTGTTTTGTTCTTCTTCATTTTTTTTTCGCCGTTTTTCTGCACTATTTTTCATTGCGATCTCATCTTTATTAACCGAAAGAAAAAAAAACAATAGTTTTGTGTTATGGTTAAATCTTTCGGTAAGATTTCATTTCTTTTTTTTTGTTTTGTTTTTCGTTTTACACATTACTCTTTCATTCATTCTATGTCCTGTATGTGTTTATGTTCTAAGTCTTTATTGTCTTTTGTGTTCTATGTATGTTTTCTTTGCACGCAAATTAATATATATTATGTGTGTGTACCGGATGAGAAAAAAATCATGTATTTAAATACGTTTTTTTTTGTTCCCGCTATTTGCTTATGAAACGTAAAACAAAAAGAAGGAAGTTTTTTTTTTCATTGCGTGCATGTGTTTTTAACTCTATATTATCTATAAGACACACACACATATAGATATAGATATATATGTATGTATTTTCTCTTTCTCTCTCTCTCTGTTTTTGATACTTTAATGTGTATGTTTATGAATATTGTATGGTTTTTTGATGTTTGATATGAGAGACGAGTATTTGACAACTATTATATGAGAAAATGTTTTAAATTGTGCCATCGAAAAAAAAAAAAACAAAAAGTCACACATGAAAAAATAATAATGAAAATATGAATTGAAACAACAATAAATATATGAACATCCATCTTGCAGATGATAACATCATAAATTAATATTTTCTTTTGTTTTTTTTTTGTCGTTTTGGTTGATGATTTTTTATTCTTTACCTTTTAGAACATGACTGCTAAACCATTGTTTAATATTAGTATGTAATTAATTGTATTCATTTGAGTCATATTTATAATTGTTCTTAGATGAACCGGTATTTGCCTTGCATCAAGGAAAAACATACAAGGCTAAGGTTGGTATTGATTATTTTTTTTTTTTTATTTGAAGAAAACAAGAATAGTAAAGATAATTCTTGTGTTTATAATGTTTTCTTGTTGAATGAAAATATGATAACTTTTATGATGAATAATTATATAAAGAATTTTTAGAAAGTTATTAGATCGAAAAAAAACATTGAATATCTTCATCATATGTTGACCAACAGAATATTAATAGTTTAGTTTCATAAGAAAAAATTTTGTCTAAAATTGTTCTGAAAGTATTAACAACTTCACTTTAATAAAGAATTGTAGCTTTATACAAGCTATGAAATAATATACATATCTTATTCTCTGAGCCAAAAATAAATGACATCTAATTTTTACGATTGATTCTCCACATTAGTATCATATGTATACTATATATATCTTATCATTAAGCATATTCTGACAGTTTTGCCTGTCAACAACAAGAATTTGTTGAGTAAATTGCAATATTCGTCTTTTATAACTTATCGAAGATTACACTTCTATACTAAAGTTAGTTGTAATTACTGTAAAAACAATTTTTGACAACATTACTCTTATGAATATACATTAGTTATGAACACTCCTTTATCAATGGTTAAAATATGACAGAGGTAATTAAAGTTTTCTTTGTCTAGCTACATTTTGAACATTTTATATTAGACATAAGTTTGTAAAACAAGGTTTTGTACTTTAAATATAGTAAAACTACTGAGTAAACTTCATAGAATTTCTCTTTTTCTATGTTCTAATAGTATAAACACTATTCTATATTTCTACAATATTTCATCGTTCTTTTTTCTGATATCAAAATTATGAAATTTTAATAAAATCTATTCACTTCTGTGTTAGATAGTTAAGGAAAATTCTTCTTTTTTTAATATGTATAAAATTTCATATTGAACTTTCTATTGAAATATAAGTTACTCATAATGAATTACAGAGTATTTCAAAAGTTAGACATGAAATGAAACTTTAATAACTCTTAAACGATACACATAAGCTTTGTATCATATCGTAGGATATTTTCCGCAGTTTTATATCATATGACTTTATTCATAGCTAGTGTTTGTATATCTTAAGTAACTTGTTGTTTTCAAAAAAAAAAAAAAAAAAAAAAAACAAATCTTTAAGATAAGTTTAAATGAGATACTTTATCATAAATTGAATTTGAAACTATTTTCTTTTTTTCTATTTGAAAAGATTCTTGATTCAAAACTTGATGAAGAAACAAATGAATGGCAATATTATATTCATTATGATGGTTGGAATAAGAAGTAAATTTTCTTGAAATTTTAATTTATAAATTATTTATTTTATTAACAGATGGGATACATGGGCTCAAGCTGATGTTTTACAAAAAAGAACCGAGAAAACTGAAGAATTATTCAATAAAATGAACGCTACAGTGTAAAAAAAAATAAAAGCATAAAATTTATTTATTTTTGCTATATTTTATAGAAAAAAAAATGATTCAAAAAAATCCGGTTCTACTAAAACACCTAATAAACGTTCATCAATATTACAAAGTGATACAACTTCACAAATACAAGTGAATGCAGCTGATGATAGTCTTGATTCATCATCAACAACAGCTACTTCAAGTAAATTATATATTTGATTTCTTTTTTTTAATTGCTTATTCTTTTTTTTTTTTTAGAAGAAAATAATAAACGACCAAGAAAACGACAACGTACAGATTCGGTAGAAAAATTGAAAACATTTGAAAATAAAGTTGTTATTGAAATAAAATTACCGGATGAAATAAAAATATGTCTTTCGCGTGACTGGTATTTGATAAATAATGAACATAAAGTAAGAATTTTTTCTTCATTAATGAATGCAAAAAAGACATGACCTTTATTAATTTTAGCTCTTAATTATTCCATGTCAACCTACGGTTGAAGAAATTACTAATCTTTATCGCCAATCGAAATCAAATAAACAAAAACCAATTGAAGCGTAAGTCAAATTTAAAGAAATTCAATCAAGATCTTTCTATCGATTTCGTAATTTTAAAAGCATGAATATAAGAAATAGATACTCTCAAAGAAGACTTATAGATCGATTCATTAATCTCTTAAGTCAATGTTTTACATAACAAAAAAATAACCCGAACAATGAATGAATCTTAGAATAAGACGTTTTATAAACTATTGATAAAATAAATATCTAACATAATATTATAAGTCAAAAAAAAACAAAATTTAGTTTCCTATTCAATAATCAATAATTTTTATCAGATAGATATCTTGTTTTTTTTTTGTATTGTACTTTAGCGAACATACAAATCATTTTGCTGAAAGTATTGTTACTTATTTTGATACGGCTTTATCAACAATGCTTTTATATGCTGTCGAACGAGCACAATATAAAGAGGTCAAATATTTATTTTTGTTTTATATCTTTTTAAAGTAAAAAAACAAAAAGAAAAAAAAAACCATATATTATTCTTTTAGATTCAACAAAGTCATGGCCTCGGTGATAAATTACAACCATCAAATGTTTATGGCATTGTACATTTATTGCGTTTAATGAGTTTGTATATAAATATTAATATTATTTAATATAATATTTGTATGTATTCTAGGTCAATTAGGTTCAATATTAGCTTATTCGCCATTGGAACAAACTGAAGTTGATTTTTTACTTCTTCATATTGATGATTTTAATCGGTAAAATTAAAAAATTTCTTATTTATAATCTATTTATTACAAAAATTATATTCACTCTTTTTTTTTTGTTTATAGATTTTTGGAAAAAAATATTAAAACTTGGGTTAATGATGAACATTATCAAATGCCGCTGGCGGCATCAGTTCAATAATACATAATGAGCTTGACTGGATCAAAACACAAAACTATCTATAAAATTACATAATACATATATATCTATATAGACATTAATTCCGTTTCTATTCATTACTTTCTTTTTTTTTTGTCTGCATATTGTGTACAGTTATGTTCATCCGAAAGATCGGAAAGAGCATAAGACTTAAGTTTATCTGCGTTTGTGTCTTGTTGTGTATATAAATGTATGTATATGTACGAAAAAAGCTTCAAGTTGTGTAATCAACCACAATTTATGGTGTATTAGTATTTTTTTTTCTTCTTGTATTTTGTTTCGTTCTTCCTTTTACTTATACCAAGTTCAAATTGAGGTCATCATTACAGTACATACGGAATTATCCCTTTTCCTTTTCTTTCTCTTCGTCTTTGGGTGGTTCACACTCTATGATGGTTGAACGGATAAAAAGAAAGAAAAAAAAACGCAAGAAAAAAAAGGCCTAGTGTAGTAGTAATAATTCTATTGACTAGCATCATTACTATTTGTATGAAAAGAATAGAAGATTCTTATGGTTGGATAAAAATCTTGAAATATTTCTGTTCCACAATTCTCTTAATAGAATAATACTCTCTCTATTCTCTTCTATTTGATTGTCATTCAATCTTTTTCTTTTTTCGTTTTCTTGTTGAGAAATCGACAATGTGGAAGATAACGATGAATGCCTTGAAGTGACATTATTCGCCTAAATAAACAATGATTGACGTAAGTTATGTCTGTTTACTGAACAATAAAATAATAAGTAAAACACAGCAAGATATTCAGTGAATACATGCTATTATCAAACAGACTTTCTTGCCTGGAGTGATCTATTGCTAGATGATTACTTTATATGCTAACACGTACAAAATATATGACGACTGACATGCATATATACTATTCAATTCCCTAAAGAATAAGAAAAGAAAAATCATTGTATTTCTTTTTCTATTTTTATCATTTCCAATAGATATTATGATTCTTTATGATTATTGAAGAAAAGTTGATTGATTATTTATATCAAAGAAAATAAAGAGTACGTAAAATAAGAATATATTGTTTTTTCATCGTTTTTATTATTACTTCTATGATAAAAATTATTAAAAAATAGATAAAAAAAATTAAAAAAACAGCTGCTAATATGATGCAATTATAGTATTTATTTTTATCATTTGTTGTTTAATATTGGAAGAAGTCAATGTCGAATGTCAATTACATTAATCTTATTTCTTTTTCTCTTCATTCATTTATTTATACAAGCATGTCACAAAAATAACTATTCTTTTATTCGTCTTTTGGACTCGATATATATAATTATTAGATCTGTTATATATATATCGATGTTTTCTATCATCTTTTCATTTGATTTTTCTTTTGTATTCTTTTCTTATTTGATTTGACGTCGTATTTCGATAGAGACAGAAGAATGAAATTAAGGTTTATTCTTGACTATCAATTCATTTTATTTTTAGATATTTAAATATAAAATATGAATCATTGTATCCGTTTATTATTACTTTTTACTCCATCATTAATTGGTCTTGGTTTACTTGGAATAGCATTTGCTACTAATTGGTGGATAATTACATTAGAAGCAGTAAATATTTGATTTTTTATGTTTATTTTGTTATGAAATTTTTTTTATTAATATTTAGAATATTCCTAAAGAAGATTCTTTAAAAATAACATCCAATGATGAACGAATATATTCAACATTAATTCGTATACCAATTTCACGTGGTTTATTAACGGAATGTGTTACATATCGAAATATAAAAGTACTTATATCAAATACATTTGATTTTCGAACAGAATTATCTCATGATAAAACTATAAAATTAACAAATGAAACTTGTACAAATAATCAATTTAGATGTACAACAGGTTTTGCTATTGTACGTCCATTAACACGTTGTATTGATCGTCGACAAGAATGTAATCATATTATTAATTGTGAAGATCAAAGTGATGAAATATCTTGTAGTGAAAATATTAATAAATATGATAATCAATTTTTTAATTGTCCAAATGGTTATGATAAATGTTCAGATGGAAAATCATGTTATCGAAAAATTGAACAAACATGTGGTATATTGAAAAAAAATTAATATATGATTCAAAAAAAGAAAATTTATATTTTATTTATTCTAGATGGAGTTTATAATTGTATGGATAAATCAGATGAACAAAATTGTAATACAGAAAAATGTCAACAAAATAAACATGTTTATTGTCCACGAGAAGATAAATGTGCACGAAGAGAAAATTCTAAACGGTATTATTTAATAAATTTAATTTAGCAAAATTTTATTTTTGTTTTGTTTATATTAAAGATGTGATGGTATTGTTGATTGTGCAGATAATTCTGATGAAGAAAATTGTTTACAATGTAATGAAGATTCATCAGCGTTTTTATGTGATTCAAAATGTAAGTTAAACAATTATATTGTTTTCAAAGTTATCTATGAAATTATTGTTCATAGATGTTATTTAAAAAAACGTATATATAATTTAAAAAATTTTTTTTTTTTATAATTAAAGGTTATCCTGGTGAATATCGTTGTGATGGTATTGTTCATTGTTCTGATCTTCGTGATGAAAGTGATTGTCATGATTATATAACAACATCAAATAATCAAAGAAAACTTTATTATAATGATCAACCTTGTATGGAACAACGTTTTAATCCATTTCGTATTAATCCACCAAATGATTCAACAATAGAATTATATTCATATCCACATAAACGTCTTCAATATATTCATTTAATTTATTATTTACAATTAATTGTATCATATGGTATTATATGTGGATTAATATTTCTTTTATTAGCTGTTATATCATTATTTTTTTTTGGTTGTTGTCGTCATCATTGTATAAGTGTACCATTTTATTTTTATGGTTTTTGGATGTTATTAGCATGGTTATTTATATTAATAGCTTTAATATCATTTGTATTTATATGGTTATGGCAAAAACAAACAACATTAGATTATGAAAAAACTTTACCATTAGATATAATGATACATGAAAGAAATCCATTATTACGACATATTGAATTTTTTGGTTTAAGTTTTTGGTTAGCATGTGGATCAGCATTAGCAACATTTATTGGTTTATTATTATCATATTGTGTTTGTTGTACACTTGGTTCATCACGAGCTGATGATAAAGAATATGAAATAATGCAAATGCATAATTATTGAAAATAAGAAAGAACAAAAAAAGAAGATTTTTGATTTTTTTTTTTAATTGTCTATTTGTTGATGTTGTTCTTGGTTATGTAGAATAGTGTGAGAAAAAAAATATTTGTTCTTACTCTTTTATTATCATATCATTTTATATTGAAGCTAAACTTCAACATGTTTTTTTTTTCTTTTTGTTCTCTGTTGCTCTAGTCATGTATATGTGGGGGTTTTTTTTTGTTGTTGTGTACGTCTCCATCCGTTTCTTATGTATTCTATGTATAAATTTATTACTTCTACTTTATATAAACATTTAGCGATCAAAACCAAAAAACAATTTTTTTATGTTCATATTATTAAAAAAAAAATAAAATCAAAATAAAATAAAATTCTAGCTTTTTTCTGTCGTATATATTGAACAAGCTTGAACATTATCAATGCGTAACTGTCATAATACGAGTACATAATGGAAATTTTGAAAATTTATGATAATTTATTTTGCACAATATTTGTCTAAACTGTGATAAATAAAATTATTATGATGGATGTTGATAAGATTAAAAGTGAGATATATGTAAGATGCAGTATTTTTGTTTGAAAATAATGGAATAAATGCTTAGGAATAGCAGTTTAATTGTTGAAATTAAGTCTGTTGTACTGAATCGCTTTGTTGAACATAGCAATATGATTAAAGTTAGTCTTTTTGTATTTTTAAAAATCGATAGAAAAAAGCATAAACAATGAAAAAAAATGACTGATGAAGGATTAAATAGAATTAGTAGATGAATTCTAGTAAAGAAATGAGTCCGAAACAATTATTACATAACATGTGATGCAAAATTAATTGTACAAATGTAGATCTCTGTTTCTCTTCAATAAAAGAGCATTGAAAGAAAATGTTCTTACTACAAGATAGAGTCCTATCTCTTCTTTCGAAACATTTGTAAGGTATCTTTTATAACACGTTCATAAACGAAACGACGTAACAGGCAAGTACCCTTAAAAGAATCCGCACTTTTTCATCAGAGGATAGCATGAAAATGTAGATCCTTATATCGCTTTAATAAATAGGTTCTGAAAACAATATTGTGTTTTAGCAATTGATAGAAAATTGTCTCCTCTTTCGAATGGTATATGATTCTTATTTGTCACTCATGGATAAATGAAACGAGAGAAGAGAAAAAAGAAGCACTCACGCAATAAGTTTGTAATTTTTATATGAGCTCATCAAAAACATCTTGTAGATGATAGTTAATCATAATAAGCTGTATTTTACAAGGTCTTTTTAAAAGCTTCACAAAAATCGAATTAATTACTGTCTAACAAGATGTTTTTGACCATTTCATGTCAAACTTACGAATTTATTATGCGAGTGTTTCTTTTTTTTTGTTCTGTCACTTCATTTATAATATCCTATCAACAGATAAAAAGATATTCTTTTCAGAACCTACTTATCGAATAGATATGGGGATCAAATTTTTGCGACGTTTTTCTGGATCTCACGAAAAGTGCGGATGCTTTTCTTTTCTGTTGATTTATTTTGTCTGTAAACTTGTTATAAAAATATGCTATATACAATTTGAAAGAAGAGAAAAGGCTCTATCTTTTGATAAAAACAATTTTCTTTCAGTACTCTTTTATTGCAGAAAAATAGAGGCCAACATTTGTGCAATTACTTTTGTATCACATGTTATTTTACAAGGAATATTGAATCATCAATAGAGTTTTCAAACAAATATCTAGATGACAAGAAACAATTTTCAGGAATTCTCTTAACTCTAGTGAAAACTATTTAGGGTATATGGAAAGCAAGGACCA